TATGTTATCTTTTGTGCAAAATATATGACATTTATATTCAAAATATTCCTGGTCTTACAAGGAATCCAGCAATGTCAATTATATTATCCTAACTTTAATCTGAGGTATTATTTAATACTAAATGTTAAAAACTCTGGAAGGGAGGATTGGTGGGGGGTGGGGGGGAGGGTTGGGACTGACCGTGCGGTTGGAAGAGGGGGGAGGCAAGGTGGGGTACTTTGATTGACAGATAGTGTCGTGAAGATTATTTTTTTTTTTATTAACTGAAGATATTTGTTTTAGCTCATAAAATTCATACAAATTACCCGGTCAGAATATAATTTACATTGCTGGAATTCTTATAATTTGGTGATCATTTTGAATATAAACATCATATATTTTGCATTAAACATACAATTTTTAGATAAAAATTTTTCTCTAGGTAACTATGTTATCTTTTGTGCAAAATATATGACATTTATATTCAAAATATTCCTGGTCTTACAAGGAATCCAGCAATGTCAATTGTATTATCCTAACTTTAGTTTGAGGTATTATTTATTAAAATTTAGTGGTTTTCCCCCAAAAATTTCTCTGAGAGGGAAGAGCCGGCAGTGTAGTGTGAGAGGGGGAGGGAGTTGAGTCCATTATTTGAATGGACATTAACTTGGCGACTGTATTTCTCTATTTCTCTTAAGTATTAATTGTGTGCATGTACCATCATAAAATTAAGATGTTATTTTTACTACAACATAGGTATGTGCCTTCAAAAAGTGGAGTTTGGGGGTCGGGCCGGTTTCTATTGGAATTAATCCCATATGTTCTGTTGTTCACTTAACGCGGATTTCACTTAACGCGGGACCCTCTGGGTTCAATTGACCGCGTTAAGTGGGGTACAACTGCAATTATTCATAGTAAATAAAAATTTTAATTAAAAAATACACCAAAATAAAGTAATAATGATCAAAATAATACTGTATTAATAAAATAATAATAATAATAATAATAATAATAATAATAATAATAATAATAATCATAATAATAATAATAATAATAATAATAATAATAATAATAATAATAATAATAATAACAATAATAATAATAAAGAAATACAAGAATGAAAAAGGATAAAAAGTGAGTAACACGACCTAGACCAATGAACTGTTATTATTACCTGTATTATTATTATTATTATTATTACAGTATTACCCCGCTTTACACGTCACTTTCCGCGATTTTCTCAGATTTTCTCATTTACGCGGTACCTTGCCAGAACCTCACTTTCCGCGGTGCATCTACTCATATACGCAGTGAAGTATAATTTTTTTTTTTTTTATTTAGCTCATAAAATTCATACAAATTACCCGGCCAGAATATAATTTACATTGCTGGAATTCTTACAATATGATAATCATTTTGAATATAAACATCATGGATTTTGCATTAGACATACAAATTTTAGATCTAATGTAATAATCTGGTTTACACAAAGCAAATATTTTATCGTTTGTGCAAAATATATGAAGTTTACAATAAAAAAATTCCCTGACCTGCAAGGAGTCCAGAAATGTCAATTATATTATCCTAACTATAGTCTGAGGTATTATTTATTACTAAACGTTAAAATCTAGTGTTTTCACCCAAACATATCTCAGAGAGGTAGGAGCTAGTGAGCTGGGAAGAGGGGGGGGTATTTGAGTCCATTATTTGAATGGACATTAACCTGGTGACTGTAAATCAATAGAATTATTAAATGTATCTCCAATACAGTTCACACATGTGAGTGTTAGATTAGAGTAGGACTAAATACATCAACAAAATAGAAGGGATATTTCTTCCTCTATATTCATGAATGGGTTTCAAATTTGGAGGCCTGATTTTGGGTAAACAAACGTGAAATATTAAATTTTTGAGGGTAGAGTACGAATGTCTAAACCCCATATACGCCCTTGTCCATCAGTGAAATACATCATATAGGTATGATGATTTTTTCTCGACTATATTCGAAGCATTGCAACATATTTGTAATTGCAATTATGTTAATAGTCAACACTGATTTATCCTTGCTTAGGGCACCTATCCCCTTTTCACTAAACTTCCAGTAATATCAGTGAACTTTGCCCAAACTTCTTGAATGCAAAACGTGAGGATTCCTCATGTGGAAAGCTCACGTAAAATGATCTTGAATAGGGCCCAAGGTCAAAACATGAAGGAAATGAAAATTTCTTCATGTGCTGGAGCATGGAGGGGGGAGAAGAGTGAGGGATCTCTGCAACTCCCTGCGCAGTATACAGTATTTTTCTTTTATTTTATTTATTAGTACAGGTTGAACATCGATTTAACGGCACTGGATTTACCGGCAACTCGCATTTAACGACAAAATTTATAGATCGCGAACTTGAAAGGCCCGCCTGTAATTTTCAATAGTTCCTCTACCTCCTGCGGGTCTGCAGTTGGTTTGCTTTGGTATTGAAATCCAGCCGGTGCTGTGCACATGTGATTGCATTAAATTTCTACCTTCTTTGCATCAATTATGACCTCTAAGCGACCTGAAAACCCTATCAGAGTTGTCAGTGACCCGAAGAAGAAGAGAGTTTTCTTGAACATTGAGCAGAAGGTTGAAATATTACAGAAACTAGACCGTGGAGTGTCTATTCGTCAACTGTGTGAAATTTATGGTGTCAGTTCCTCAACAATTTATGATTTAAAGAATCAGAAAGATAAACTTCTTAAGTATTTTGTGGACAGTGACACAAAGAAGGGACTGGAAAAGTGTAAGCACATGAAAACAGGTAAGCATGAAGATTTAGAAAACTGCTTGATGCAATGATTTCGTCAACGAGGCACCCCCATAATTCAATTTAACAGCAAATTGAAGTTAACGGCACCGTCCAGGTCCCGTTGATGCTGTTGAATCGAGGTTCAACCTGTACAGTAATATTTTTATTAAAGCCTCACATTTACTGGTACAAAGAATCACTCCTTCCACAATCAAACCATCCTCTGGGTGACGTGATACAATTCATCTACTCAGCCGGGAAGTCACCCAGCTGACTCACATCAAGAGAGGGAAGGAACATGGCTGGAATGGTGAGTTAGCAATGAAGTTGCAGCTCACTGCCTTTACACATAAACGTTCACTTCCCACACATACACACCCAAGTTCTTCATTTTCTTACTTCAAGTTTTATATTATATTTTTGTTATTTCTAAGTTGCACTAGAGTATTGTAATGATTTGATTTTATATTTCTCAAATGAGTACGGACAAGTGATAAACATGCTGAGGTCGCGAGATATGCTAGGTAGGTCCCAAGCGTAAGAGTGGTTCAGGGGGTCAGATGCATATAAACGGGGTCACATACAGTACTTTAGATATGTGTACTCCGAGACCCTACTGTACAGTGGTCCCTCGGTTAACGAAATTTTGGTTAATGAATTACCTTACATAAGAATATTCAATTCGGTTAACAAATCCCTTACGAATTCCTCTCAACATGTTTTTGCTTGCTCACCACCTGGAATATTAGTCCGCCAATACTGCAATCGGTTCTAGGGCTTAAGTTCATTCCCATTTGAGTAAATATCAAGAAGGTTGTACTATTCAATAATTTTACAAGTTTTATATTAAAATTTTTAGTCATTTTAACAATTATTTAACATAATTGAAGTACAGGAAACTAGTTTTTAGTGCGCCAAACAGTCACTCAACTCACCAAACAGTTGTCAGTTTGTATCTCTGGTCAGTAGAGGTAACATATTGCTTGAGACTCTCTTGAACATAAACTATTTTTACGTTTTTACAGTACAATTATTGGTTATTCTGAAATTTATTTTACATATTGACAATATATAGTGCAGTGTAGTGTTGATTTAAAGAAAATAATCTTGAATTGCAACTAGTGAACTTAAAATTTTATGGGTGAAATGACGGCAAGAAGCATGGGGTGATTTCTCTTCCACCCCCCACTTCCTTCTCTTGTCCCTTCTCCTCCACCCCCACTTCTAATTCCCATCATCTTCATCATCAACCAGGAACCTTCTACATACACACCTCAAAGTAAGTGTACTTTACTGCATTTAATTTTACTTTGTATGTAATTTTTGGTGAGCTGGAACCAATTACCCAAAATCCCATTGAAACAATGGTTTCGGTTAACAAACAACCTTCTGGAACGAATTGTGTTCGTTAACCGAGGGACCACTGTATAATAATAGTATAAGAGGAGAAATTGGACAATCAGGAATTGGATTAATGACTGTGTGTGTGGTGGTGTGAGTGACAAGTCATTTGTCTTCACCAGAGTTTAGCAGTAAGTTACAGTAGAATTTCCAGTTATCCGGTATCCAGCCAACCAGTAGATTCGACTAGCTGACACCAAAATGAAATAATAAAATTAAAGTTCCTCCAAAATCATCTATAATCATAAGTTTGAATACCGCGTGCAACATGGATGAGCTGCCTTATTTAATGCTATGATAAACAATAAAATCGATACAAAGCATATAAAAAATACAGTAGCACATAATTTATGTACAGTACAATAAAAGCTCCTACCACACTCAAACCATCATCTAGACAATGCGACCCACTTCAGCCAAGTACAGTCAACCAACCGACTAACAGCCGTGTGGCCACAAGGTTATAGCCCACCACCTTCACACACATACACATTCTCCTTATTTTGTAGTTTTATATTATATTTTCTTTATCTTTAAGCCACATTAAAATATTGGAATGGTTTTTCCACAACTTTTTATAGTTTCATTACAAGTAACAATATAAGAAACTTGTGTGCCGGCTACTGGTAATAGTTCTACTATTTACCATGTTTATGAAATGTAAATAATCACTAACCTAAACCTGAACTCCTCAAGTATACTATACAGTAATACCTTGTTCAATACCTCCCTAATACAAAACCAGAGAGGATGCAGGCAACATCTGTCCTCATGACTTTGTTCCTTTAGTTCTTTATGTCACATATACACAATCATCAAAAATGAACAATAATTTCTTACCTTCTATCACATATTTTTCAGAGCCTTCTTCTATAGGGTATTCTCCTTTAAACCACGTTGTCACTGGGTGTGGGTAGCCTTTGACTTCACACGGCACACGTATAGTTGAATAAGGCGTAAACTCCGTTGCGTTTAGACGGATTATTGCTCGAAGTGGAACTGTGTGTATGAGGTTATAATTTTTAAGACAGCATTGTAATGAATACAAATAATTAGTTTCAGAGCAATTCAGATTTTCTAAAATTTGTTTAGCATTCTTCAGTAACAATTAAAGTAGAAATTTATTATGAAATACAGGTATAAAGGCTTTAGTTATTTGGAGTTCAGTTACAGAATTTTTTACTAATTACATAGGGTATAAAGAAGATTTAGTTCAGCATATTTTAATTGAGCTAATTATCATGCTAGTAAATGTGAAGAACTAGTACTGTAAAAAGCAGAAAATAAGTTGTAGTTAAAATTTCCCAGATGAATAAACCAAGTTAATAATCCCAAGAAATATAACATGCAAGACCTTACCTATGTATAGTCTAGTGGTTGGCCGAGGGGTAGTAGTGGCTTTTTGAATTGATGGAGGTTGGTATGGAGGCCAGTAAGGTCGCTCATCAGGTCGTACAGCAGGGAATTGAGTGGCAGGGGAGGTAAATGGAGGGGATTGTGTGGTGGGCGGAGCTTTGGGTGGGTCAACTATATATTTTAGGTATTCACTGTCAGTGCTGATGGTGTTATAGACTGGTCCAAGAGCTCGCAATTCAATATTTTGTGAAGTGGCTCGACCTTGACCGTTGTATACTTGACATGTGTATGGACCAAGGTTCCTGAGGCTGACCACACGGATAGTCAAAGACCCATCTCGGAATTGTTCGTATTGTTGAGAGGAGAGTGGTAACATCTTTCTGCCCCGCCACCAGGTAAATGAAGGTTTCGGCCAACCAATGGCTCGGCAATAGAGCACAGTTGGATTGCCAAGCGACACCACTGGAGATTCTTCATTCCAAGGCACTACAGCAGACTCTCGTGGTTTTGGATCTGACATGCATGCTATATTAGTAACCGCAAGCTCCCACCATAATGCACTGATCTCTTCTCAGTTCAACATAGTAATGTGTTGTAGTGTTATTATTAAAGTCATAGCTATTAATAGAATCCATATTGGAACTATTTGAATTATAATAGTACTGTACAATCATACTTGGTCATATATATTACAAAGGAGATTGAATGAAAGTTAAATGAAAATGTACATAAAATAGTAAAAATTAAGATGTGTAATGAATTCATTGTAAATATACATATTTGTAAGATATTCATGATTCAAAGATGGTTTGAAATGTTATTGATCGTGATGATCATCTTCACTGTTTTGTGACTAATCTCCATGCATGCATGCGTTAACCATTATTATCTGATGACACGATGTCCTGGTTGCAATTGGGCAAATTTTAAGCAAGCTTTATGGTTGGATGCTCTTCCTATCATCAACCCACTCTTATAGGGTGGGAACTCAAAATTAAATATAGTACTTCCAATAGTCTTCTTAGCTGGCAAGGCAGGGTCACTATTCCCAGAGATTGTCCAATGTGACAATATTAATAATATAGCAAATGGAACACATCAAGCTTGGAAAGATGGTGTGAATCATGGAAATATAGGAGTGATGACCATAAAAACATGTTGAACTGAGATGGAGATATTAGGTTTACAGGCAGTCATGACCATTAGTAGTAGGTTAGACAGACGAAACAACTAAGAATAAACCCATCATTATTACTCACTACGTATATCAGTATGTCTAAAATCTAGATATTGTTTATGTCAATCACAGAAGGAAAATTTAAGCAGTATCCCAACTCCATGTTAATCTGCATCTCTGTTTGTCCTATGACACAGACAATTTCATAGTACAGGTAGTTCTGCTATAACGCGATAATTGTGTTATTGTAAAATATCGTGTTATAGAAAATCGCGTAATAGAAATAACAGGGCTTATGGAGAAAATAGGGTTAGGTGCAGATTACTACTCGAAATCGAAAAAATTTAGTAGTTAGCCTAACACAAAGGATAGCACAGTCTAAATAAATGTTACATTCATATCTAATAATGAAATCATACAGTAAATGTAACACTTTACTTGATGGGGGAGAAGGGTGATTTTAAGGTTGATATAATCGAGCTTCTCTTCAAGTGTTATATCCTTTCTTTTACGATCATCACCGGGAATTCTATCACCAGAACGCTTCTTGTTGATATTCTTCTTTACTATATTCACAGTTAATCCCACAAAATTGGAGAAATAGTAAGCAAAAATCGCGTTATAGCAAACAAGCGTTCGCGTTATACAAATATCGTTCCTAATTCATAAATCGCGTTAGAGCAAATTCGCGTTATCAAAACACGCGTTATAGCAGAACTCACTGTATGTCCTTAATCTTTCTCATGAAAAAAAGATCAACAATAATGTGCGTGTGAAACCCTTAGTATGTACAGGTATACATTATAGAGAAACTCTCCATATAAAGTATACTGTACAGCTTGTATATTAAACTTCAAGTGTTATATATGCTGAAAATTTCAAGATAAAATTTCTATGGATCAATTATCAATAGGAAACAGTTGCAAAGTATGTGTAAATCTGATTGAAATTGGTAGGCAAAGTGAAGATCTTGTCTGAAAAATTACACCTTACTTACCATAAATTCTCAATGTAGTATAAAGGGAACAATGTTAGTCTAAAACATTTCAGAAATGATAAAATCTGCCTACAAACAAACAAACAAACAATGTAATTAACCAACTTTATCACAAAGTATCACGTGAAACATTAGTTAAAGCTTTATACTGTAATTAATCAGGGAGTTATAATAACACTAAATAATTTAAATAATTCTTCTAATAACCACCTCCTGAGCAATAACAAGTGGTGGTACTGTACAATACATTGTAAACTTGTAAAATGACTTTAAATAAATCAAAATGGGATAAGTCACCATTACCCATGCTGTTGTCTAAAAAGAACTGTTAGTGAATGAAAGAAAAATCCAGTAAGCTTAAACTAAGAGAAATTAAATCAGGCTACAGTACTTACAAAAACTATATTTAGGTCATTACATTACACATTATTTTTTTAATTAAGAAGGCTTTAAATAGATTCTGAATGCATTTATATACTGTATATTGTTTTTATTCCTTGCTAGCCTCTTTTTTGCTTTAGCACAAGAAGGTTGAAAACAACAGCAACACAGACTCTGCTATCATTTCTGTCAACTATTCTCCCTAAATACTGTAACACATGTGCTTTTGTGGTGTTCCCTTCGTACAGCATTGCTTACACAATCCTGAATAACCTAGCAGTAGCATGTCCACCGACATAAAATACTCAATAACACTGCTTCCTGAATGAGCTCTGACTAATACTGTAGGAAAGCCTCCGATAACGACGGTTCTACTAACAATGATACATATTTAAAACCCTGTTTAATTTAGGACCCAATTCAATTTACACCATTATTTTATTCATACTTACGACGAAAATATAATAAAAATAAAATAAAATAACATTTTCATATAAATAATAACTAAATCCTGATATGTATTATACAAATATAACAAAAACACGCCTTGCACACGAAGGCTGTCGGGCTTGTGAGTGGTGACGCCAGCATCACTAGTAAAAACAGTCGCAGCTTGGCGGGCCTTTTATTTTTACGCATCTGAACAGGAAAAGGAGAAAAACTTTCTCAGATTTCTTACGGCATTTTTGCGTCCCTATTCAACATGAGCATGTGATGGTACTGCTGGTTCAAAAGCTAAAAGAGAGTGTATAAGCTGAGTCGAGAAACTAGATGTGTTAAAACGATATGAAAAAGGGGAGAGGTCTGTGGATATTATATGGAGCAAGCAATGAACATATTTTCTGAAGTGGATCCATTAACAGAACGAAGCATTAAAATTAACAGGGACGTGAAAAACGCATATGACCCTTATGTAAAGATGTATAATGAGAAAAAGAAAGCAGCTGTGCTAGGTTCTTTAGACAGCTTTATTATTTGAAGGCCTAAACCATCAACTTCAGCTATACCATCAACTTCAGGTTCAGCTACACCATCAAATTCAGCATCAGCAGGAGCTTCAGCAACAACTACATGCTCAGTAACAGCTTCAGCAACAGCTGATGACTTTGTCATCTGAGTAAAAACTCACACAATATTCATTGGCTGTCCTTATGTTTTAGACTTTACCACCATTGGCGAGTAGAAATTTTGTTTTATATTCAAAAGTATTATTTAAAACATATATGAACAGTAGTAAGTGTTGCTTTCATATTCTTATGTAGAGAAATGACGATATGTTTTCACGTGTGAGCACTTACTGTACATACGTTGGCGTTGCACAATCCGTTTCGCTTTTTTTCTTTACCGTTAGTGGTTAGCTACTTTTACTGTTCTATTTATTTACATTAAATAACATTAATTAAAACATACAGGGGTTTTCTTTTTTTAACATTAAATTTTACTACAGCTACAACCAGGGTCTTAGTTTCTTCAGCTTCATATGTAGAACCATCGTCACGGTTTATACACTAACGAAAACAATGCCGTCTCGTCTCTTCTTGCGTGTTTTAATATTCTACAAATTATTAATGAAGTGTACTGTTCATTTTGCATACAAAAAATTAATTCAATCAAATAGATATGCAGTAATAAACAATAATGATTCGTTTGTACATATTCTTAATATGATAAATGACTCTATGTTTCCTTGAGTGCACACGTATACGCTGTCGTTCCGCTCAGTCTCTCACTTTTTCTTTACCATCATTGGTTATTTCTACTGTACATTAAATAACATTAAGCATAATTTTTTGGAATGCGCATGAGTGCCATGGGTGTCAACAAAGGCTGTAAGAGACTGTTCCTTAAAAGTCATATTTCTGACAAATTCAGAGAGTCTACTAATCCCAGTCTGTGCAGAGAACTATAGTAAGACCCAGTTATCAGCACAGTGGCATCTACTTTTATTTAAAGTTCTGGACTTTGTCATTTTTGTTTGATAAAAACATCTGATCCTACCACCCGGTCCCTGTGGTCGAAGATTTTCAAGTTTGCGCATGAGCAATGTGAAGTGTGACGTAGCAGTAACATCTTTACCACTCCATCTCAAACAAGCCAAACTATCTACCTGACTGCAGTGTTGCCAACTTGCCCTAAGCCAGTCGTTAAACGCTCCCGTTCGTTGGAAACAGCGGCAGTAGGTGACAGTGATGCTGACGACTTTCATCTTGAAGACAAGTCTAAGAAGCAGATACCTCAGAAGTCAGGGTCTCCAGCAGGGGCTACGGCTCCCCTTCGCACATCATCTGGGGCTGTAGAGGGTGGCCTCCTCCTGCCGTTGGGGTTCCCAAGTGAGCTTACATGTGGCTCAATGACCGACCCTCCGCCGACGATGGACATTGGGGATTCCCTTCGTCTCCCTGCCCCTTCGTGCCTTCATCGTCTCGCCTTTCCTCGTGACCTGCCTTTGAGCACACGGACGACCTGGTTCTTCTGTCACTGCTCTCTACTTCAGGACTCAACACTTCTCCGCCAAGGTCCTACAGCCTTAATAAAAACCACACAAATGGACGAATAGGTACACCTGCTCACTCAAGTGGGCTATCCTGCTCCCCAGGGGGAGGTGATGCTGCAGTTCACCACCATCACCCCAGAAACTCGTTGTACCAAGGTAATGGTTCGCCACGTACCCTGGGAGATCCCTATCGACGATCTTCGCCCTCTTCTCCTACAACTACTCGACATGGAGCGCCGCATCAACCCAGTCTCCAAACGTCCATCCAACGAACTCATCAGCGGGTGGGTGGCCCCCCCCCCTCCCCGGAGGTGAATGTAGGACCTACAACTGTCCTCTTGACCGATTTCTCAGAACCCTGAAAATCTGTGGTCGTTGCCAATCGTGGAAACACCGCACCTGGGAGTGCACGAGGATGGTCGCCTGCGGTTTCTGTGCAGGTCCTCACGACACAGTGGAATGCAAATCAAAAATTCAGAAAAAAATCCCAGTTGTTCCACGGTGTGTCAATTGCCATGGCAGCCACCACACCTGGAATGCCAACTGCCCACAGCATCCTGGCACTCGCCCAGGGAAAACTTACCTTGTACCACCGCCCTAGTCTCTGACAAAGTCCGTCAACCAAACCTCACTCCTATCCACCAAGGATTTCCCATTGATCTCCTCTCCTCTACCATCCCCCCTTTCACCCCTACCACCCATCCTTTCTCCCCTCCCTCCCTCTCCCTACCGTTCTTGGAACAAGGTCGTTGTCGGCCCTGTCACACAGTTATCACCACCTCCTGAACAAGGCATTAGAACAAATGCGCTATGCAAAGAATATGGCATGTCGACATCAACTGTGTCGACAATTCTTACACAGAAAGACAAATTTAAAGAAGTGAAAGTGAGAGACAAATCTACAAGTGTTTAAAAGTAGATCCCTAATTGCAGAAACTGAGAGGTTACTTATCATCTGGATTAGGGAAAAACAGATGAAAGGTGATTCAGTTTCTACTGCATTCATTTGTGAAAGAGCCAGGGAGATTTACGAACATTTAAAGACAGATCAACCTGGTTCTTCAGGCACAGAAATTGAAGATTTTCGGGCCAGCAAAGGCTGGTTCGAAAAATTTAAGAAAAGAAGTGACATTTTCAGTGTTGTTAGGCATGGTGAAGCTGCTAGTGCTGATAAGGAAGGGGCAGCAAAGTTTTTAGATGAATTTAAAGAACTGATGGAAGAAGAAAATTATCTTCCACAGCAAGTGTTCAATGTGGACGAAACTGGGCTGTTCTGGAAAAAGATGCCCAAAAGAACATTCAACACCAGAGATGAAGCCTCTTTACCTGGGCATAAACCCATAAAAGACCGTCTCACTCTATTGCTTGGTGCCAATGCTTCAGGGGAATTCCGACTGAAGCCTATGCTTGTCTACCACTCTGAAAACCCCAGGGTGCTCAAGCAACAGAAAGTGGTAAGAACAAAGCTTGAAGTTTATTGGAAGTCCAACCGTAAGGCATGGGTGACAAGACAGCTCTTTAATGAATGGGCTGTTGATGTGTTTTGCCCTTCTGTCAAGGGCTACCTAACCACCAATAAACTCCCTTTAAAGGCTCTTCTCCTCATGGATAATGCTCCTGGTCATGACCCTGACCTTGCCAGAAATTTGGAGTATCAATTTGACTTTGTGAAAGTGTTGTTTTTGCCTCCAAACACTACATCAATCATACAGCCAATGGACCAGAATGTGATCAGCAACTTCAAGAAGTTGTACATGAAGAAAATGTTAAGGAGGTGTCATCAGGCAACTTCCAATAATCCTGAACTAACACTGAAACATTTCTGGAAGACACAATTCAACATCCTGGAGGCTGTAAAATTGATTGTGTCATCATGGCAAGAAGTCTCCACTAGATCCCTTAAATCTTCATGGAAAGCACTGTGGCCATCAGTAGTCCATGATTTTGAGGGATTTGAGGAAGAAACAGAGTTGGACCAGGAGATTGTGTCCATTGGTCAGTCATTGAGCCTTGAAGTGGAGGAGGAGGATGTGAAAGAGCTTGTGATGTCTCATGAGGAGGAACTTACTCCTGATGACTTGAAGCAACTGGATGAGATGTTACAGGTAGAGGCTGACAGTGGTGAGGAGGAAATTGAAAGTGATGACCATATATCAGCTAAACAGTTGAAAGATGTGATTTACCACTGGGAGAAGTTCAGGGAACTGGCTTCAAAGTACTCAGAAGTGGAAAAAACTGAACTAACTTTGTGTCATGTTGAGGACTCAGTGGTCTCCTTCTTTAAACATAAGTTAATGGTGAGGAGGACAGATGCCCCACAGACCACAATTGACACTTTCTTCAGTAAAAGGCAGAGGGAACAAGATGCTATCCCTCAGCCTTCCACTTCAAGAAGGAGAGAGGATGTTCATGGTGGAGAATCTGTCAGTCCAGAGGTTCCTGACATTTTCATGGAAGGTGACTCACCTTCCAAGAAGCAGTAAAATGCTTCTCCTCCACCTCCACTTCCTTCTCTTCTCCCTTCTCCTCCTCCACCTCCCACTTCAAATTCACATCATCATCCAGGAGCCTTCTACATACACACCTCAAAGTAAGTGAACTTTTCTACATTTTTTGTTGAATTTAGGCAATTTTCGGTGAGCTAGAACCAATTACCCAAAAACCCATTGAAACAATGGTTTCGGTTAACGAGATTTTCGGTTAAAGAGCAACCTGCTGGAACGGATTGTGCTCGTTAACCGAGGGACCACTGTACCACCAAAACAAACAATTTATGGGAAGCTTAAGTGGTTTAAGCTATTGTCAAAAAGATTGAAGGAGCTTCTATGGTTGAAGTTCCTGGGTCCAAAAAGCTCTACTGCTTCTTTTGTATTTCTTGTGACAATAAGATAACAGCACTTGTTTTCCCATTCTACCTAATTTGTAATTTTACATAATTACCTGTAATATAGGCTAAATTGCAAACCAGAAAGAGACATTCATTGCTTAGAAAGAGGTGTAAGACTGTTAGATTAAACAAAATATTTTTTCCTCTCAGCCCATTGCTATTAATTAAAATATAATAGTTAAGTGTAGTACACTTTTTTGGTTGCATATCTGATGAGTAGCACTGGAGGCAAGTATCACTAGCTCCTTCCAATCTTCTGGTTAACTATATAGTTACCTAAAGTTGAATAAAGAAAAGAAAAAAGGAAACTATGTACTACATCCCATTCTGTAGTACCATTTTATACATGACTGGGAATTAATTTCATATAAGTGATTGGTGTCTTGTTGCTGCAAAAGTGAATAAAAAGTCAAAGTGCAATCACAATATGCTATGACTTCTCAGAAAATTCCCCAAGCTTTTCCTGAAATTATGAAATCCTTTTTTTCCTGGCCTGTGTGGCTATTTATACTGAAAATGATTGGCTATTCCAAAGAATTATATTATACAATGTCTGCTGTCGGCCAGGGATTCTTAACTTCCTAAAATTTTAATACTGTACTGTATTTCACAAACAAACCTATTCAAACTCACCAGGAGAACACTTCACCTTCATTACCTAATGACCACCCACTAGAGGCAGCCACGCAAAGAGGAATGCTCGTAATTTAAACCTAAGTCCTTGCTAAACTTACCAGTAATTGTCAATTGAGTGGTCCTGGTTGCAGGCCTACCAATACCATTAGAAGCTTCACAGGTATACTGGCCAGAATCACCACGCTCTGTGTTAACAATCTGCAGTGATCCATCAGGAAGTACTCGAGTTCTACTAGACTGACCCTCCCTGTCAACCTGTGAATATTGTGGATTATAATTTACACTAAAATATGGCTCAGCATCAAAATTGAACACAATGACCTATGTCCTACAGCATGGCATTTACATTGAACACAAACAAGATATTTTGGTTTGTGATTTTCATTTTATGTAGAATTTTTATCAGTTGGCATCCCACACTTTAGAGGTTGTTCAGTATGTGACATTCTGCTTATAATAAGAGAAAATTCATGTAAAATAATGGCAATGACCAATGGTGATGACAAATAAGCCATTTGCGATATCTGTAATGACATATTTTGTATAACTAACAAATCAGAATTACGAGTGCTGAATAACTGACCGCGTAGGACCCGCGGTACCAAATGATTGTTGGTGCTGGGGAACCTTGAGCTACACACTTCAACAGAGCTACGTCATTCTCTTCACTGCGAACTTCAGAATCGAACTGTATGATGCGAGGCGCTTGACCTGTAAGTAGGGAATAAATTTAGTTACATATTTATCACTAATTTATCAATTAGCACAGATTAAAGTTCATCTCAGTTAATTATACAATAATACAATAACACTAATTTCAACTAGCTACATACACATTATACGGCTATAGATTTCTACCAATACGTATATCATAATTTAAACATTACCTGCTGGAACTGTGGTGAGTACAGGAGGAGGGGAGTAGGCAGGTTCCTGGTCCTCTCGTACAGGAGCAACACATGAGTAGCCACACCCATTATAACAACATTTATGATCCCCATAGCAGCCTGCATCATTTTCACAGTCATTTTCACATTGGTATGTTCTGCCACTTGTTTTTGGACATTGGCCAAGTTTATTAACTGTAAGGAAGATATCATTTCAGGTAACAAGTGCATCTTATTACAATACAGGTATCCCCTGGGTTACAGAAGGTTTCCATTCCTGAAAATCTTTCCACACCACAAAACCCTTTTATAATAATAATTAAGGTTTATTGAACGAACATGGCAACCAGAAGGCTGAAAATGTACAGTAACATAATTGGGGAATGGATCACTTGATTGACAAATAATATACAAGTAACACAATTGATACAAATACAGTATGATATATAATAACAAAGTTGGGAGACAGTCATACTACAGGGCATTTCAACATAGTAACAGTGAAAAGAGGTAAGATTGGCTGGGAGTGAACACACTGGTTGACTACAAGTTGTTAATAATTTTTACAATGGTTGGGACTGGGCTATTCTTGTAGCAATCAGTAAGTGCTCGTATGGGCTGAATGCAGTTGTGATATTGAACAGCAATTCACGGATGAGGGATCTTGGGTGAAAGCAGGAGCCGAGGGTCAAGTATGGTGCAGAAGCTTCTCTTCAGATTTACAGAAAAGGTCGTGGTGAAGATTGGAGAAAGCCAAGAGGGTCAGTGTGTTGAGTGCTTCTTGATGTGTGGAGTAGGAGAGGAAGAGAATAATCTTGCATGCCCTCTTCTGCATTTTTTTCTAGGTGTTTCAGTTGTGTGGCATTTAGGGAGGAAGACCAGGCAAAGGAGGTATTAGTGAGATTCAGAAGTATGAATACTGAGTAAGCACTGAGGAGCTCAAGTGCGGGAACTCCGAGGAACTTGAGTCGGCGGAGGAGGTGGAGACGAAAACTGGAGGATTTAACAACTTCACTGGTGTGTGTTTTCCAATTTCGTTTGTTGTTTATAGTGATGCCAAGGAGCTTGGTGAAATCCACAACTTCGAGTGTGTTGAGGCCAAAAGTAATGGGGGGAAGTGAGACAAGGTCAGAGGAGAGGTTGATGTGCATAACCAGGGTCTTGGTATGGTTGATGGTGACATGATTGTTAGAGGCCCAATTTTAGAGACTGTTAAATATATTCTGGAGGGCGGTGTAGTTGGGAGCCGAGTTGTTCACACTGATCCCAATGTTGGAGTTGTCGACATATTTCCAGCGAGCAGAAATTTCTCTTAGGGCATCATTGAAAAGCATGAGGAAGCAGAGCGGTCCCATCTTGGTGCCTTGGGGGAAACCACAGGTGAATGACAGAAAAGTGGAGACACCCCCTCGGAAGCGTATGGCTTGGCGTCAGTCACAAAGGAGGTCTGTAAGCCAAGGTATAAGACTTCTCCGAAACCAGAGGTCGATAGCTTTGTTGGTCATTAAATTGTGGTTGACTATGTCAAATACCCTGGTAAAGTCAACGAATGCAACAGCCACAGACGTCTTTCATTTTTCAAGATGGCGGTATATGTAGTCGAGAAAGCTGACAAGATAGTGTGTGGTGAAGGAAGTTTTCATATTGCCAAATTGCTGAGGATCTATGGCACCTGCAATATCAGCATAGGCCCAGTCAAAAACACAACTTGTGGGCTGGTTGACTTGGGTACTGGTGACATAAATGAGGTCTTCCAGTCGGCTGGGCATCTTGCTTGGGTGATGAAAGCATTGATGATGGAGGAGAGGGGTTTAGCTAGCTCCGGGGAGAACTCCTTGCAGAGTTTCGTTGGTAAGTCAATGGGGGTTGTGGAGCCCATTAACTTCAGTTTGTCCAGGTGTTTTGCTACTTCAAAATTTTCCACTAAGTCAGCAAGAAAGGGGGCTGGTAGGTAAGAAGGGAGACCGGTTGTGTTAAGCCGGGAGAGCGTCTGGCGTATAGTTGCGAAATGAATGTTTGATTGCTCAGTGAGTTATTTAAGCTTACCATACCACTGACTGATGTTGGTCTGCTTCAGGTGTTGAAGCTTGGTTAGGTAATAAGAATTCTTTGCAGCGTGTATTTCACGAGTGATTTGGTTACAAAGGGACCTGTAGCATTGTTTTCATTGAGATAAAAGGTGTTGTCTCTCTGCAACATAAGTCTTTTGATCTGAGGTGTGATCCAGGGCAAGTCAGCTGGGTGTGACCTGATGGACTTCTTGGGGAAGAAGTGGTGGTGAACTTCCATGGTGGTGTTGATGTAATTTGTCCATTTGGTGTCTACGTCATCCACACTAAGTACTTCAGTCCAGGGATGGTGAACTATCCACTGCCTGAAGAGACAATGCAGAGTCAGTAATTGGCCTGTAGGTCTTAATGTATAGTCTGCACTTGGCTGGTAGTGGGAGCTAGAGAACAGAACACTGATAGGTGTGTGCTACACTCAATAGAAGGCATTGGTTGATGTGGTTGGTGCTGCTCCACTAAGTCAGTTAAGACAAGGTCAAAGGTGTTTTGACTGTGCGTAGGGAAGTTCACAGCTTGTGATAGTAGCAGCTGGTCCTCAATATCAGTGGTGTAAATTTCGTTATGATCCCTGCATAGTACTAGCTTGGCACATGGGCACTTAACTCTGAGGTAGTCTGAGGTGGTAATGAGGTGATTAATAAGAATGTCTCTGGTGGGTGAGCCAGGTGGGTGGTATGCCACACAGTAGTATATGATAGAGGCAGTGTGGCGAGGGTGGGCACGTGGCACAACATGTACCCATAATGCCTCCACATCAGCTGGGACTAAAACATCCAGGCATAAAGGACGTAGTTCATCTTGACAGAAGAGGGCAACGCCCACTCCACATCCATGCGTACAAAGGCGATGAAAGAGTTGATATCCCTCAATGTGGCAAGTTTCAGGGACAATTTGCCACATCTCGCAGATGGGAATGATGCTGGCAGTGAATGACCGGACTGTGGTAGTGAGCTCACCAAATGTGTTGGCGAGGAAATTAATGTGGAGAGCAGTAAGGAGGGAAGATTTTATCATATTCGGGGAACTTCAGTGTATTGGTACCGTCTGTCAGGAATAGGTTTCTCTGATTTTCTAGTGGAGGTGATAGTCCTGATGGGCTTCTGTTTATGACATCCTTGTCTATAGCTTAAAGCATGGACTGTGTTCAGTGATTTTAGTAGTGCAATAACACTGCCACCAGGATATCCGTGCCCTCACTTTAAACTGTACAGGGTGCGCCCGGAGTACTTCACTGGTGGACATCTGTTGTTGTGGACATATGGAAGGGTTTGTCCATGGTGGACTAACTCAATGATGGCACTTTGAGGGCCACCAACAGAATTTCCATGGTGTAGTACACTGGTAGACATCTGCTAATATTTGTCAACTCATAAACACCTCACTGGTCCTTGTCTCTGTCACTTTGAGGGTTACTGACACAGTACCCATGGTATATGGTAAACACTGCAGTATTCCTTATCTCTGGTACTTTGAAGGTCACCAACAAAGTGCCCACGGTCCAGTACTACACAGCTCACTGGTGATTTGTTGTGAATCATGCTTGTTTTTGTGTTTTTCCTTGGAATACACAAATGGATCACTGTTGATAACAAATCATTCCACAGATCACATGAACATTTTGCTGATAAATTCCAGTGTAGTGAGGTTGGTAAGGAATTGGGGTGATGCAGGGGTAGGGTCAAACAGACTTGGGTCAGGCTGCCAAACAGGAACGCCTACAGGACATGTCTTGTTTCACCGAGTGATATTTTTGTTAGCTGGAACAATTGGTGCAGAACACTTTTGGGAATGAGAGATTTCCATGTAATGAGATGACTCTCAAAGCTGGAAAAAATCCCTCATCCCTGGAATTTTCTGAGTACAGGTTGTACCTCTCTAGTCCGGCAACCTCGGGACCTGACCGGTGCCGGACCATGGAAATTGCCGGACCATGGAAATTCACCCTTTTCCTGGATAGATAGTGACTTGTGCTTATGCCTGGAAGCACTAGCACCACTTTCTCTGCGTCATGGTCTCTTTGAAGACATATTGAAGGGTTAAATGTCATATAGTAGCTTCTCAAATTTCGCGAGTTTTTAATTCTTAACGTATTTTATTGGAACACACAAAAAAATAAATAAATAAAAATTTTGACGGCAGAAACTTGAATTTTGACGGGTTTGAACGGCCCGCCAACGTGCAGACGACGTGCATAATCGTGTAAACAGCGTCATTTCTCTTATGTACAAAAGATTCATTATTGTTTATAACTGAATGTCTTTTTTATTGAATTAATGTTTATGTGTGCAAAATGAGCAATACAATTCATTAATAATACGTAGAAAATTAAAACACATGAGGAAATGACACAGCATTGTTTTCGTTGATTACAAAACCAGTGACTGACTGGTTCTACATATAAAACTGAAGAAAATAAGACCTTGGTTGTAGCTGTAGTAAAATTAATATGGTTGTTTTAAGTAATGTTATTTAATGTTAACAAATGGAACAATAGAAGTAGCTAACGATAATGGTAAAGAAAAAGAGAGATCGCATATGTAAGTGCGCATGCGCACACGTGAAAACATATCATCATTACTTTACATAAGAATATGAAAGCAACACTTATTTACTGTTCATATATATTTTAATTAATGTTTCTGAATTTGTTTTTATTGAATTAATTTACGTGTGTGCAAAATTATTAGAGGAGACGAGACCGCTGCCGGCATTGTTTATGTTAAAGCTTACGAAATCAGTGACTGATTGGTTCTACATATAAAACTGAAGAAAATAAGACCCTGAGTTTAGCTGTAGTAAAATTAATGTAAAAAATGAATATGGTTGCTTGAAGTACCTGTAATGTTATTTAATGTTAATAAATGGAACAATATAAGTAGCTAACCATTAATGGTAAAAAAAAAAGTGAGACTGCTCGTATGTAAGTGCGCACATGTGAAAATATATCGTCATTACTCTACATAAGAATATGAAAGCAACACTTATTTACTGCTCATATATATTGAAGGGTTAAATGTTGTACTCTGTATAGACAAGCAGAGAGAGAGAGAGAGCAGCCGAACTGCCGGATGTAAACAAACCTTAATTTCCCGCGGCTTTTTTTTTTTTAAGGGGATTAGCCCACCC